GAAAGACTTTGAGAAGTTTGGTAGACTTGGGAGGTGAGATAGACAACGCAGAAGTGCTTGAAAGTCTCAGGGGTCAGGTGCTAGAACTATATTTCAATATAATTTCTATTCTTTCTGTTATGCATTTTAAACATTCTGAGGAGTCCATGGAATTCACCAGAAGGCCAAAGAGGTCCATGGCACCAAGGGAATTAAGAAACCTAACTTGTAATGGCTCTCCGAGGTAATTTGCCACTCTGAAGAGTGAAAGATGATCTAAAAGTTATTGTGGTCTCCATCAAGGATTTCTGCAGCTTGCATAATTTAGCCGTTTTGCAACTCAAAGATGCTTTTGTTTCCTCAGGTCCCTTGGGGATTACTATATTTCTTACCACCAGACTTGGCTTTGAATAAAGTAGGTAGTTTAAACATCAAAACAATATAACACCACAAGTGCCAATAAATTCTGGAAACCTGTGTTTCCTAATCTGTACAGTGGGGTAAGAATTGTGCAACTAGTTAGAATTAAGGAGGCGACTACGTGAAATAAACATAAAACATGTTTGCGCAGTGCCTATCAAAGTAAACGTTCAATAAAAATTACTACTCGTTTACGTTACTATATTGGAATGCTTCTGTACGTAAAAGAAAGACTTGAAGTTGATGGCACACTATGTTTCGCCAGTTTCCAAGAAGAGAAATGAGGTCTGATTTCGCAGCACAGATAAGTTACTGCTTTATTCAACACGATGCTGCTTATGTTTTGTTTTACGAGGATGGGAAGAGGGATGTGGTGTTTTCTTGGGTTAAATGCATAAAAGATTAAAGACATACTTTCCTACTGTTTTTATAAGGCTTTTATAAAAACTATATTATCTCATCTTTATAAAAACTATATTATATTTAAACTAAAATTCAATTGCTTATAAAAGCAATTAATCAAAAATCATTTGCTATGAAGTACTTTCAGATATCTTCAAGGAATCCCATTATAAAGGTGTGCTTTAATGAAACTGTACCTTTATCACTATATAGCAACAGATTAATGAAGACAAGCGTGAGAGATAAATGGCATTATATAAGATATAAGGCAGGAAATGTAAATTGTATTTATTGCATGTGTTTAAAAGTATGTTCAACTACTAACCTCAAAAGGTAAATACCTATATATTTGAGTATGTTGAGATCTACACCCATGTTTATTTTATTACAGTTAATAAAGGAAAGAATCATATTAGGAAATAGTTTTTATTTTGTGCAAAGGTCTAGAAAAGTCTTGGAACTAGGTCTAAAAAGCCTGTTCTTCTTTAGGACTTGTCTATGATAATAGGCCAGCCAGTTTCCTTTGTGAAAAAACGCTCTAGAGGAATTTACAGCAACATAACAGCTGAAGCTGAAGCATCTGGCCTCAAACATAGAAATGTTATATAAAATATACCAAAAATAGTCTTAAATACATAATTTACCTGAAAATAAAGGAAGAGTAATCTGGTAATCACTCCAGATTTCTGCAATTTATATCAGTTAGTAAAAACAGACAAAAAAAATTGTAATTGATATATAGATACAAAGAGAAACAAAAGTGACAAAACATAAACAACTAATGAACTTAGGTGAAGGGTAGGTATATTTTTCTTGTTTTCTTTCTTCAAGTTTTCTGCGTATTTGAAATTATTCAAAATAAAAATTTAAAGAAAACAGCTGTATGGGTTTATGGGAGACATAACTAAAATATAATTACTCAGAAAATATATAGAGAACCGTATGAAAAATATACACAAGTAAACCCTAAACAAAAGAAAACTGATGTGACTCTAAAAATATCAGACAAAATAGACTTTAAGGCAAGAAAAAAATTAACAGAAAGAAGTTCATGAGTTAATGATAAAGGACACAACTTTTCAGGAATTTTGAATCCCAAATATGTAAGGCAAAAATTGCCATCAGTACAAGGAGAAGTGAGCAAATTCACAAGCACAGTAGAACATTTTAAGGCTCTTTTTTAGGAAATGGATTGATCAAGCAGACAAAAAATTGGTAACTATATGGAAGACTTGAGCATATAATTCACATGCTTGAGCTAAAGGGTATATACAGAACCCCATACCCAATAAATAGAACACACATATTATTGGCAAAGTGTCACAAAATTCATTAGAATTGATGATCCTATAAATCACAAAGGATGCTTTCAACAAACACGAAAGAATCTATATTATTCTTGGCTGACAAGGCTAACAATGAAAGAGGAGAGAGAGAGACAGAGACAGACAGAGAGAGAGAGAGAGAGAGAGAGAGAGAGAGAGAGAGAGAGAGAGAGAGAGAGAAAGAAAGAGGGAGGGAAGAAAGAGATAAGAAAATAGCCAATCCTGCACCCCATATATTTGAAAACTACAAAACAAAGCAAATACACACTTACTTCAGGAACCTCTCCAGGAATTAATTCCCTGCATCAAATTCCTTTTTGTTTAAAATACCTAGAGAGTTCTTGCACTTACTCCTGACTGATGGTCTTTCCAACTTGAAAAGACCTATTAAATTTGAGGATACACATATTATCGTGCCTAGTAGGTCCGTTTTTTTTTAATGGTGACAGTATCATTTATTAAGCTGTGCCTTAGTACAGGTACTCTGGCTTGCTCATGATGCTCTTGATGTATAAAGCCCGGATATTCTGCCAGTTCTCTTTGAGCAATGACACCCGAAAATTGACGGCTAAGTGGATGTTGTACACGAGTTCATTATCTGTCATCTTCACATGGCCAACTGCCACTGCCTGACACAGCACCTTCTTCATCTGGAACTTGATTGTGGACTTTACTTCATCAACTTCGGCCACCATCTTCTCCTGGTGGGTGAGCAAGGACGGGAACTTGCCTGCCTTATTCAGGCCTGGACCCAGGATGCGTGGGATCTGCTTGATCGGAGACGATGAAGCCAAAAACGCATCGTGCTTCTTGGTCAGCTTCTTGACCAGTTTCTTATTCTTGCTGAGTTTCTTCAGCACCTCAATGTCCATGTGGGAGAACATCCACAGCCTTGGACTTGTCACAGTGCTGCTTGATCCCCATAGTGACACGTGCCGAAAATCCGTGAGACCCAGCAGGTCCACTTCTATATATATATAACTGAGAGAACAGCTAATTACGCATAAGGAAGTACATTGTTTTAGTGGCAAAACACTGAAAACAGCATAAATATCCACCAACCACAGAATAAACCAATGAATCATGGTATATTCATTACATAGCTTTTGAAATTAAAAAAAAAAATCTACTCGTGTACCATGGATAAATCTTGAAAACACTGTTAAATGAAGAAAGCAAGTCACAGAAGGATGCATAAAGATACTTTATAGTGTTGATGGACTATACATATGCCCTGAAAACTTAAAACCATGAATGGGAAAGATTCATATTAACTTTAACAGTAGATATAACATTTTATTTATTTAAAAAATTGTGAAACAAATAAGGCATAATATTAATATATAGACTGGGTAGTGGGTTCATGTATGTTATATTATTCTCTGCACTTTTCTGTATATTTGTAATTTAAATAAAATAATTCTAATAAAGGTATAATACTATAATTGCCAGTAAAAATAGCAGAAGTAAAAGAAAGACCCCATTCTGGAATTCTATGAAAATTAATAAATAAATAAATGAATGTTCACAAATGCCTGACTTTGCACAGAGAATATACATGGATTGTGAATGATCAGTGTTTTTTATTTTAATTGGGGTTACTAAAAGCATATCTGTTCTTATTTACCAGTAAAAGCTACTAGGCACCAAGCAACTGAGAAGTGAATGAAATACATGGTATGATAGATAAAACATCAGAGTGAAGATCAGAATTTCTCACTTTCCCTAGGGGTGTTTTTCACAGTACAGAACTAATTTGGTTTGCGGATTCCCAAGATAGAGTTGTGGTCCCCAAAACTAGCTTTGCAATCTGAGTTCTAGTCACTTTAAAAAACGAGCAAATCACTTTTCATTTTAAAAGCTGTTTACTCAACAGTGATATGATAATAAGATAATATGATAAAAATGATAATACCTATCTCGAGGATTTGCTGAGAGGAATACACAGATACTACAAATAAAAGCACTCTGTAGACTGCAAGTGAACACTTATGGAATGTATGATTTCAATAGACATTTCTAAATTTTACAGCCGAGTTGATTTTAATCTGTTTTGGTGGCCGTCCAAATCAGTTCGGTTCTATTCCATTTAACCTGTACTGTTGAATGTCTGCTCCTATTAAAATGCTCGAGAATTTTAGCTTGCTAGGGCAATGGAGATGCAAAAGAGGGTGATTTCACCTTTACTGGCCTCCAAAGTGTATACAATAATAACCTGTAAGTCGGTTAACAATAGTTTAAACCTGCTAAGTACTTATTAGGAACCAGAAACTATGCTAAGTGTTTTCATTTAACCCTCACAATACCACTCTGAAATCAGTTCTATTATAATCTCCAGATTTTACGTGAAGAAAGTAAAGTTTGGAGAAGTGAAGTAACTTGTCAAAGGTCACATGGGTAGGTTAAAGGCAGAGCTGAGGTTTGGAGCCAGTTCTGTTAGATTCTAGAGCTTGCTTACTCGTGTCCTGGTTGGTTACTTATGACTGGTGTAGGATCTATAGTCATGAAGCTGTAAACATAGCTTCTAACCCAATTATACCTGTAAAAGGTTTCACTCTTAAAAGACTTTTTATCAACAATTATAGGCATAAGATTATAAAATTTAATCCTGAAAAAGGATTGATATTACATTTAGTTTATTATCTCATTTATTGATGTACTCATTTATTTGATATTTATTAACCATTGATCAATATTTATCAAACAAGTGACTACATTAATAGATAAAAAAATAA